ATAAAAAAAATAATCGGGGCGGGTTAGATATGTTTGCTTGTGCCAAACCCTCCCACTTAACTGAGACAGACTACAAATATCAGTTCAAAACGGCTTCACGTATCGGATCGATACAAAACACATACAACCCTATCAAAGACACAAAGACAGAAAGTACAGATCTGAGAGTACTCGCAGTTACTGAAAGCTAGTTCAAAGCCAATAACGGCTGAAAAAATTATGTGTCTTAGTAAAAACATCAATCATTACACATCAATCATCGAATAAACGAAAAGACGCCATTAGGCTAGTAGTAAGAGAAAAAAACATTACCTTGTGCAATGCCAAAATATGGGTATCGACAGATTGTAGAACTGGTCATTACAGTAATATTAGGGTTTGTTTACATTTACTGATAATAAAATCAATATTTGAATTATACCAATAAAAGCGAAATTCAAAAATCTAATTAGTGTTTAAGATAACTTTTTTTTAAAGAATGGGTTTATTTAAATGATTGAGCAATTTCAACGGATCGTATTTAAAGTTACGGGCTTTGTAGATAACATTGCCGTAAAAATGTGGATGTGCTATCTTTTTTGTAATAAGCTTTCTACAAGTACAGCCAAATGGAATCTGTGTATCTATGAAAGGTAAGGGTAAAGGTTTTAAGTAAGTAATTTGAGGTAACGAAATCCTTGACTTAATAATTAATCAGCAATCCATATACTTTACATTTCTTGAAATCCAAAATGCACTGCAGACACGGGCATTGCGAACGATCTGGGATATATAAACACATTAAGATGGTGCGAAAGTATAACATCACTGTCAAAAAAAAGGAATAGTAAAAGGAAATAAGGAAAAATTGTTCCTTTGTCGTAATTTTTTGTGTAGAGTTTTCCGTGTAATGCTGAAATATCCAAATCTAAGAGAGGACCTTTAGCACCTTTTATATTTGATTAATTTAAAGTTAGTACTTATGGTTCAATTTCGGCAGCATATTTCGAAAATGTTTGATTATCTAACAAAAAAAATACTTTGAGTACATGCTAGAATAGAGACTCAAAGCCAGTAGTTCTGACAAAAGAAGAGCTGAAAACACCACCAAAATACTCTTGTTTGTGTCTGGCAGTTTGTTGAAAATGTTTAAAATCATAGTCTTGTTTTGGTGAAATAGTGGTAATGAAAATTTTAATTTAATCTATTTTAAAGTGTTTTTTTTTTTCTTGTCTTGTTTTTACAACTTGATCATTTAAATATTTGCTCACTTTCCCATATCGATTTTATTTTTCACAGTCTGTAACGTGCAAAAGAGGGAGATAAAGAGGGGTCTTGAAAAATTTTGGGATTGGAAAAAGGGTTATCCAACTTTTCAATACTACAGATGGGGGGCTTCGAAAAAAAATTATAAGAACTGAGCAATTTTGTATTTCAAACAGGCAAAAATTGTAATTATACTAATTTGATGAATACTCTAAATCAGTGTCTGATCATTCAACAGAAGTTATATTACTTGGTTCAAATGTCATATATATATATATCTCATGGCATCGTGTTTGGCAGTAAACTTAATGTCGGTGCTCATTTTTTCATTGATGTGGCGGCCATCTTCTGGTTATTTCATTTTCAGAAATGAAGAATAGCAATTAAAGGGAATAATGGTTTGATGTCTTCCAGTTTTTTTTAGGTGTTCTCGATACTATATCCTATTCCATATAATATATAATACAAACACTGATAATACTGATTGTTGCTTCATTATATGATTAATCGCAAAACTCATGATTGAGCATATACCTTCAATGGTTCAAGATGACTTCAAGAAGTCAAGTGTGGCATTTTAAATGAAATAATTTTCCTAAATGTAACCTGGAGTTATGAAATCAGGCGACTATCTACCAATGCTTCTCGGCCACGGTAACAGTAGAAAAAAATATTTTGGGCAGGACAAACATCAATTATTTTGCCGGCTCTGATTAAAATATCTTAATTCAAGCCGGCAAAATAGCATATTTCAATAGAAATGGCTATTTTGCCGGCACCAGCAATATAGTGAATTTGTTCCCGGCACTAGAAAAATAGAAAATGTGTTATTTTGATGGCTCTAGGTAAGCGGAAGCCATTTAAAAACTGTTTTGTTTACACATATGCTGACTATTATTTCAAAAGCAAGTTTAATTTAAACATTATTGAATTATGAAGCTATGTGATTGGCTTTGTTATATTGTATAATGTTTTATCAAATTTAATTTATGATGCGATGAAAAGTTTAACTTTTATTTTTTTTAAAACATGCAGTTAAAAAATCTGAGATTTTATTCTTATGCATACATATAGCATTAGACTGACTGGTTTTAGAAATAATTTGAATCACATGTTTTGATATGATTTCAATGCAACAAATGGATGCTTAGTTATTTTTTTTTTCTTGTTAAAAATTCTTATAATGTACACTTTGACTGATAAATGTTTTTAAACGATTATATGTATCTCAAATATTGATAGCTGTTTTCTTATTTAACTACTGGTATACCAGTAATTATTTGATTCTTTTATATTGACAATCCACATTTTCATAGTAGTTTTCAAAAGTTAATATTAAATTTCACTCTTTACAAAGAACCGGCAAAATTACAAATTTACTACTAGAATAAGTATATTGCTAATGCCGGCAAAATAGCCATTTCTATAGAAATATGCTATTTTGCCGGCTTGAATTAAGATATTCTAATCAGAGCCGGCAAAATAGGCACTGCCTTTTTTCCCACCGCAAAATTCTGAATTTCTTGGTATTCTTCCGGGAAAGTATTTCTATATGCGGTTTTTCAAAAAAGAACTGAAACAATTGCTGAAATTGAGGATGAAGGCGTGGAAATGTCAATAATTAAGACCCGACGATACCAGGCATATCTAAATAAACAGTGATAACAGTTTATCTTTTATTTGTCTTTATGAATATTACTTTAACTGTTCAGTCTGTTTTTTGGTGGTATCCATTTGACGTGGCTCTGTACTAATACATCCCGTCATTGTGTTATTGATCTATGATAATTTTTGTATTCCTGCCTTTCATTTTTGCTAATATGATTTGTCTATATGCCTTTTTGTGTTTCTTTTATACATATGAGGTGGCTCTGAACTTAAAAACATCCCGTCATTGTGTTATTGTTTTATAAATTTTATATTCTTGTCTTTCATTTTTGCTAATATGCCTTGTCTATATGCCTTTTTGTGTTTCTTTTTTACATATGACGTGGCTCTGTACTTATACATCCCGTCATTGTGTTGTTGTTCTAATAATTTTTGAATTGTTATATTTCATTTTCGCTAATATGCTTTTCTATGTGCTTTTTTGTGTTTCTTTGATATATATGACGTGGCTCTGTACTTATACATCCCGTCATTGTGTTATTGTGCCAATGTTGTTTACATGTTTGTTTGTTTTATAGTGATTAACTCAATCATTAAGATAATAACACTATGTTGACTGCTGAACCCCTATTTTTGACATTTTTACCTATTAGGTATATTTGTTTTGTTCACACATCGTTGTCAGTATAATGGAATTGTATACGACTGTCATAGAAGTGAGAGGTTAAGCTAGTTATAAAACCAGGTTTAATCCACCATTTTCTACATAAGAAAATGCCTGTACCAAGCCAGTTGTTATCCATTTGTTTGGTGTGTTTGAGCTTTTGATTTTGCCTTTTGATTACGGACTTTCCGTTTTGAATTTCCCTCGGAGTACAGTATTTTTGTGATTTTACTTTTGAATTGAGGTCTGAGGCTGGCATGTCAGTAACTGCTAGTAGTCCTTTGTTAAATTATGTACCATTGACATTTTGCTTAGTTTCTTTTGTTACCTATTCTGACATCGGACTCGGATTTCTTTTATACTGAGTTTTACTGTGCGTATTGCTGTGTGTTTCTTTAATCTACATTGGCTAGAGGTAGAGGGGGAGGGTTGAGATCTCACAAAACATGTTTAACCCCGCCACATTTTTGCGTCTGTCCCAAGCCAGGAGCCTCTGGCCTTTGTAAGTCTTGTATGGTTTTTTTTAATTTGAGTTCATTTATATGTTTTGGAGTTAATTATGACGTCCATTTTCACTGAACTAGTACACATTTTTATTTAGGGGCCAGCTGAGGACCACCTCCGGGTGCCGGATTTTCTCGCTGCATTGAAGACCCGGTGGCCTTCGGCTGTTATTTGCTCTTTGTTCGAATTGCTGTCACTTTGACATATTCCCCATTTTCATTCTTAATTTTATTGGTCTGCATTAGACTCATTAGTGGCGTTCAAATGAAAATAGGACGTCGAAGAGTACTTAAAGTATGATTCTACATCCTCTCGATACTGTTTATTTATATTTTGACATTGCACAATTTAATGTTTTTCTCCGGCTGCTTATGAAGTCTTTATACTTAATCCGTTGGATGTTCATGCATTGATTGATATTTAGTGTGGGAGGGTGAACACAATTTATTTATCAGTTGTAATTGACATTGAACTATATGTCAGTAACTCCGAGAACTCTTATATCGATGCGGTGATTTATGCATATTTCTCTAATTGTAAATTATTTTTTGGTGTTTCTAACCGATCTATGGAGTTATTTACAATTGATTTTTATAGTTTGTTTGACGATGTACTGTTACACCGCTGTTCCGTGTTAGACGCAAGGTTTAGTGCTCATAACATGTTTATATTCATATTCTTTATGTGCTTGTCCAAAATCAGGATACCTGAAATTCAGCGATTATCGTTTGTTCATGTCTTGTCACATTTGAATTTTTTTTAATTCGTAAACTGTTTTTATATAAATTGGGCCGTTGGTTTTTTCGTTTGAATCTTTTTACATTTTGTCATGTTTGGGCTTTTACAGCCGACTATATGATATGGGTTTTGCTCATTGTTGAAGATCGCACAGTGATGTTGCTAACGTCCATGTCATTTTTACTCTAGTTGATAATCTCATAGGCACCTCTCCAATTTCATATAGAAAAATACGAATGAGTCTGAAAAGGGCATCATTTTTTATTCATTTTTTTCTGTCGCTGCTTCGTCATCTCAGAAACCTAAAAACAAAAACAAAAAATATTAATGATTAAGCTAACAGTGAACCGTTAGGATTTTTTTCTTCAACTATTTAAGAATTTTGACAGCCACTAAAAAATATTTCTTGTATTCTATTATGTTTTGTGTACATTCAAACAGTACGTGTGCGGAGTAACTAGACATTTACACTATATTTAATAATGGGGAAAGACATACTTATAAAGTGTAAAATTATATGTAAATAAATACTGACTATAATCAAAAAGATAAATAGCGTTGTACTCACAGAAATTACTCTCGCATATATAATAATAATTAGTGTTGCATATATAGTCAATCCATGTTCCACCGCTACTATTAATCATGGCAACACAATCGTAACCATTGCCTTTATTACCAAAACCACTATGCCATGGTAGATAAGTAGCTTTGGCTTGATCAAAATTCCATCGATATTCTCCTTCATTCAAATCTGTTAGTCCTATCCAAAGATGATCATCTGAATAAAATTGATTATCTTATGTGATTGATTGATTGATTGATTGATTGATTGGTTGGTTGGTTGGTTGGTTGGTTGATTACTTGATTGATTGATTGATTGATTGATTGATTGATTGTTTGTATGATTGATTGATTCATTCATTCAGTCATTCATTCATTCATCAATTGGTTGATTGATTGATTGATTGATTGATTGATTGATTGATTGATTGATTGATTGATTCATTCATTCATTCATTCATTCATTCATGCATGCATGCATTCATGCATTCATTCATTCATGCATTCATTCATTCATGCATTCATTCATTCATTCTTTCATTCATTCATTCGTGTATTCATGCATTCATTCATTCATTCATTCATGCATTCATGCACTCATTCATTTTCATTCATTCATTCATTCATTCATTCATTCAAACAGCAATTAAATGATGTTTTTGAAATAACTGAAAACACCAAAACTATACATACATACCAGTTTTTGGTCTGCTTGCAAAGAGTTTTTCATTCTCTTTTTTGTCATCAATCTTAGCAATGTAACCTCCAATCTCCCTGCATTTTCTCTAAAAAAAAATCTTCAGATAAAACATGTAAAATCTCGATCAATATTATTTTAAATATCCTTGATAAAATGTTTTATTCCTTTTGCGTTTTCTTACAAAGTATAGCATATGTTCGTTATTTCAGTGCGCAGTATTTTTAGCGAATTATTTTTACTGAAAGTTGTTTTTTGTTGTTACTGTAATTCGACTTTTGCCGTTTTTTCACGATTCTATACGTCCATATCTTTCTAGGTCCGGTCGCAATAACTGACCACTGTTTCTTATTCTTTCAAGATCACTTATCATGATGTATCGAATGAAGCTTAGGGTCGTGGATTTAGCAAATATAATCGACTTCTGTGAAATAAGACAAATATTTTCAAAAAAGGAACAAAAATGGGTTATGAGTAATTACCTCAGCAGTGAACCAGTTCTGTTTGTCAGAACCGTAAAAGTAACAGTGTCCATTATATTTGTGCCATTTAGTTTCTACAAAATAGGTATACAAAGTAACAACTATATTAAATTAGTGAAGCACACAAAATATATTTATTTATACATATATTTGATACGGCTACTGTTTTTGGCAAAACATCAATAATTCATGCTGAAACATAAATCCTTACTTACTCTGAAAATCTTTCCCTAGAACCCGGAAGTCACTATCAACTTTCTTGACCTTTTCTCCGACATTCGATAGAGCGTCTTTGACTACCCCAAGCTGGTCCTGTATTGAAGCTGTAATTTTCTTAAAACCATTTTCTAATTTCTTGACAGTGTTTCCAAGGTGATTTTCCATGTCTCTTAGAGCAATTCTGGAGTCATCGAAATCCTTCTTTGATTCGTTAGAAAGACATGGCAAGGATGTGACAGCCTTGCATATAATCATCAACAAAATTATACGGACGAAAATCATCTCTGGTTTTTCAAATTTCAAACCTGTGAAATTGGATTTGAAAAATGTGTACTTAAAGTCTAATGAAACTTCAAATTAAAAAACACAGTTGTATATGGTTTATATACTTGAATGGCTAAGTTTTACTATAAAACAAGGGTACGTGAAATTTCTTGTTAAAGAAAAACCTTTAAATATATTATCAAATCAAAAGGTATAGAAAGTTTAAATAGAACCAGCGCATGAAAGAGATATATTCCTTAATTCAAAATAATTTCACTAATCATAATATAAATAATACAATATTACTAGTACATGTTTCCCTTCTTTTTTTTTTTATTATAGTTTGTCATAAAAATGAACGTCAAACTTTTCTTTTTCTTCAATAGTAACTTTGTAACATACATGAATATAAGTTCAGTATATAACTATATGAATGAATGATCAACTGGTTACATACCTTTGCTGTCTAGTATGTTACTGAAAATGAGAACATGTTTACATATAACAAAAATCGAAGTCTTTGTATAGTCGTTGCCAAATTTGTTTTGGCTATCACAGCTGTATCACGCGATACGTAAATAACATCTCAGGGACAAGGTTTAATATTTACGGGAAATTTCTTTTCAAACATGCTGACACATATTTCTAAGAATTGTCACCAATTATATTATCGACCAAAAATAAACTACTGCAACAAGCCTTAAAAAAAGGTCTTCTCGTGTACTAACATTAAATACATATAACTTATATTGATGAGTGTTACACATATGATAGCATGCTAAACTAAATTTTATAATTTTACAAACATTCGTCTCGACTCTTACTGTTAGGATGCGCAGGATGTATTATGCAGTTACGTCTAGTTTATAACTCAGACGCAACTTCACGCCCCGTGTTCGTCGTGTTTACAGAATTTCTAGCTCTCTCCGCGTTAAAACAGACAATTAACCCCTAGCCGTCAAATTCATGTTCATCGATTTAACTCAAATTCTCATATTTGATTTATAAAAATATAAAACATTTATCCAAGTTATTAAAAGTCTAAAATAAACAATATACCGGGCATGGGCTCGTTAATATGTAGCTTCGTTTCGTGTGTATTTAAGTCTAGTTTATGCATGCGGTATCCATTTCTGATTAGGGGTTGAATTGAAGTTCACATAAATACGGATTCAATGAGGTCGAATTATTCACTTGCAAGTGAATAATTCATCATCAATGTTTCTTAGCTAATTCTGACAAAATTGAACCATACTGGCTGGTATTTGCTTCTTTTTGTAAATTCATTGGGATGTAAAAGCGTTGACCGATGTACATTCTGTACGAAGCGCGGAAGCGTTTCATTCTAAAAATGTGCGCACGGTCAACGCTTTCACAACCCTATAAAAAGTGGTTATGAAATTACAAAAAGAAGCATTCGGCAATACTTATAATTACATTTTTTAGCTAGGATCATGAAAACACGATTGCTATCAAGTTTTTCTTTAATTTACCTGTGCACTTTATTGTTGGACCTCGTGTCATCATGAATGTTACATTTCATTGTGTAATGAATGTTAATTTCAGAAGGACGCGAGATTGCCAATCAAAATAACGTATCATAATAAAATTACATGCAATGTAATTATTTACGATTGAACAAACGAAAAATCATATTTCATATTTTTTATATATCTCGTAGCTAGTAACCCTTTAAGGGTCATTCAGTCTTTGATAGTCGTTAAAAGACTTGACTGGCATATACAACTATCAAGATTTTAATCTGTTAACTCAGTACATAGTCCAACTTGGAACAGTACTGTTCCTGGTCCTACGGAGATATATGATTATAGGAGTCGGTTTCACAAAAAAACTTACGAATAAAATTGATCGTAAGTCATGAACAATTCAGTATACTTACGATAAATCTTAGTCGTAAGTATATTTGTGAAATTGACCCCAGATTCTCTAAAGTCATACATGTACATAAATTAGAACTCAAAGTGACTGTTATACTAAAGTTGAAGAATTATTAATCCTCGGACTATTTCATCTTCACTTACTAATATCATTTGGATGCTTTTTCAGGCCGAAAGTTTTCTCATTTGAATTTTTATATAATCATAAAAAATTTAATACATAAATTTAAAAATAAGAAGAGTAAAAACTATTGCAACAGAAACTTTTAAAAATAATTCACAAAAAAAGTCCAAGCTACCTTCATGAACTCTTTCAGTATATGATGCACTATCTCATCAATTATAAAAGTATGAGTAGAAATCGTATGCCTGCATTTTTTGTTGTAAATTGTATTTGAAATTTGTATTGAATCGGGGGTGCAAGCCGAAAAAATAATTCCGGAACATTCCTATGCGCCGTACCGGATCCAGTTATATTTTTTTTTTGGAATTTCCAGTTTTACTTTCGTTTTAGACATGTTTTGTTTTGTGCATACAATTTATTCAAAAAGTAAATTAAGGTGAAAGTCTAATAATATTTATTGAAAAAAAGTTATTAATTAGTATATTATCGTCACCATTGTTGTATTATGAAAAGATATAAACCCTTTCATTTTGTTTAATCGATGTGCTAAAAAAAGAAAGATGAAATTGAAAGTGGAAATTTTCAGTTTTGACTGTTGTGCTACAGATACAACTAAACAATGAAAGTCGATAGAACAGTCTTTCGTAACAGATACTTTAAGGTATTAAAGGTAAAGAAAGAATGACTTAGACATTTTTGTTCTTCAAAAATGAAAATCGAAAAAGGGGAGGGGGGGGGGTTTAGATATATTCTATTTGATGTTTCGATGTTAAAAGTTTGGGCATTTTATTTTTTAAATAGTCCACAGCCTTTCCAACTGCATCATCAAATATGTATATTCTGTACTAATTCATCTCAAAACAGATTTACTGGGATGCGATTTAGGGGCCAAAGGGGCAGCCGGACCCGCCTATTTTCTCTGATAAATTTGGGTAATTATTTAGGGAATCACTGAAGCATGATTGAAGCAGAGCCCCCTCTTTGGCAGTCAATGGGCCACCCCTTTTGAAAATTTCTGGATCCGCCACTGATGCTAGAAATGATTTCCCTAAAACAAGTTCTTCAATATACAATATAGATAATTATCAAAACAAGTACAGATATTTAAAAAAAATGTACACATTCAAATTAATGGCTCAACATGACTAGCTTTTTTTTAATTGTCAACATGATCAAGAAGTTCAGTACTTTCAGTAGTTAATAAACTGTAGTATATATATATATATAACTGTTTTTTTTTGTCTTATAATTATCATATGTATATGTATGTTGTTTAAAAGCTCTACAGAACTTATGTTGTATTGTTATATGTTAACCTGGCTTTAAATACATCTTTAAAGCTTTATGCTTTAAGCATAGCATTGAAATATTTGAGGAAATAAGAAGTTTATAATAGCATGGAATATTATTTTCACTGGAAGAAAGTTAACAGTATTTGTGCATTGCATGTTATTTGTTAAAAATAGAACAGTGACTGCATTTGATGAAGTAAAGATGTGGTTATATTGACTTTTGTGGCTTTTAAACATGTTAACAACTGATATTAACTGAGTCCAAGCAGGCCAAGCAAAACATGTATTTAATAACAACTATAATGACTATATACCCAAACAATTTGTTTTACCAAAATTAAATGTGAAGACACATAAAATTTTGTCCAATTGATATAAACTGTAATTTATAAAAAATAAGATGTGGTATGATTGCTAATGAGACAACTCTTCACAAGAGACCAAATGACACAGAAATTAACAGCTTGTAAGTCTGTCTTTGGTTTGCATGTGATGTATTGTATCATGAATATCAATTTTCAACATTCATTTTTAGAAGAAGAAAAAACTAAAATTATACTTTTATTGAAAAGCGATTTTTATCTTAATGTTGAATTAAGTGTTTATTAACTATAACCTTGATAAAAGCATTCATCAGACACTAAATCATACATTTGTTATATTGAATGTTACAATCAGAGATTTTGTCTTTACAGAAATGGCAGAATTTGACAGACAGCATCTCGTCAGTTTAAAATTTAAACAAATCAAAGTGCAGGTGATAACTGGGCTGTTTTTCAATGAACAGGTAAGTAAAAGGGATCAAAGAAATACGAGAACAGGTACTGTAAATTCAGAAATGATTGCAAGCATTTATTATTGCGATTTTGTCATTTGAGACTAAAATGCGATTCTAATTTTTACGATATAGATACAAAATTTATCCTGTTTAATTCATATAAAAATTTCAATATGTGAGTTTGAATTATTGCGATTATAAGCCTGTCTCTTTTTAGCAATAATAAAAACATCACAATAATTTCTGAATTTACAGCAGATAAATACTGTAGATTTATTGTTTTTCCGTTGGATGCCAATTTCCAAGGATTTCCTGGTTACTTGGGAACCACAAATGCCAATGTATTACAAAAATTAACTTTTCAATAAGTATGTATGCAAACTTTGGCAAAACCATGAAATCAAGTTTCTACCAAAATGCAAGTGTTCCTCAATCCTTGAAAATTGGTTATCACGAAAATAAATGAACCCGCAGTAGGCTTGCTTTATTGATTAGATTATTGCAATCCAGTGGTAAATATTTCTTTTAAATGCAGACTGAGAACATGCGTTGCAAAGAGGATCAGTCACGATTAAATCGTACCATAAATGAGTAAAAACTGTAAACCAGCAACTTAAGCAAACTCAAATTTATGAGATGCAACATGAAATATAGTTAGACTTTCAAATCTAAAAAAAAATAGATTCCTTTTAAATTCTTTAAAATAAAGGTTATTCCCCTTGCAAATGGTGATAATATACAATTAGCTGTCTTTAACTAGGGTAAATATGTGATTTTATTGACCATATTTTAAACCCCCATATGTTCCATGATGTTCACTTGTGTTTTTCTGTGCCAGGAACTCTTTCAGTGGTTTTCTTTTGTTATATTTTAATATTTTGTCATTTGGGGAATTTGGTTTTGAATCATCTGTGATTGTCTCTTAAAAGATTCACAAAGTTTTTAGACTCAAGATTTTTAGAGCTTGACGTATGGTGTACAATTTGTCTATTGTTGAAGAATTTCATATGGTATATTATTGAAGACTTATATTTTGACCTTGATGTCCTTTGGTTTCTTTGTGTTGGTATGTAGCCATCACATCTATATAAATAGATATAAGAAGATGTGGTATGAGTGCCAATGAGACAATTCTCCATCCAAGTCACAATTTGTAATTTTTTAAGTAAACCATTATAGGTCAAAGTATGGCCTTCAACACAGAGCCTTCAACCCTTGGCTCACACCGTACAGAAAGCTATAAAGGACCCCAACAATGACTAGTGTAAAACCATACAAACAGAAAACCAACAGTCTAATCTTTATCAAAAACAAGACGAGAAACACTTATGAATCACATCAACAAACAACAACCACTGAACATCAGGTTCCTGACTTAGGACAGGTGAAAAATACCCAATACAGGGTTTTATTCAAATTTAACTTTTTGTATTTTGACAGACAGATGTTATAGTCAACAGTACATCACAGAAGCTTCACCTTAATGATGGACTGGGTTCCAAGGCTTTATTTAAAGCAGCAGGTGACCAGATTCAATCAGAAATATCAGCCAAATATCCTGATGGTGTCACCTGTGGGGAGCTGGCTATATCAGGGGGACATAATTTATACTGTGCCTTAGTTTTCCATTGTTTTCTCAAGAGATGGACAGAAAGTGACAAGGACAATGCTGAAAAGGTATATAATCACTCATGCATAAAATGCAGGTATAGGATGATTATTAAATATCTAGCATGTAAAAAAAGTCAACCATATGTAACGACACAAGCGTTATGAAGTAAGATGTATAAATCTATTCATCATAGTTTATTAAATCCTCCATATATATATCATCATAATATCACAACTTTTTCTTCTTTTATAAAAATTTCACATTAAAAATCTTCTAGTTTCAATTTACATAAATTTTAGGCAACGTCTAATATACAATATGAAAGAAACAAAAATAAAAAACATAAGTATGTTTCATCTCTGTATATAAATTTTATACAATATAATCAAGTGCATAAATTTCTATTTACTCACTAAAAATTTCTTTCTAAACTTTGTCACAAAGTTTGATAATTAATCAAATCTATAAACTTTAAACAAATTACTAAAATGTAATTTTAATAATGAATTTCCATCTAATAATTACCAAATAGAATGTTTCTAAGTATTTCCAATTCTAAAATACAGTATCTCCCTTATCAAATTATCTCCCCTTATCAATATTGTACTTCAAAAATATGACTAAAAACATGTTATCATTTGTAAATAACAAACAATTTTAACCAACTGCTAACCTAACAAAGCATTCACAATTAATAGCAGTAAATTTAATCTGTATTAACAATTCTAGGAACTCATGGTTGATAAATATAATTACTACACCTGAAAATAACATTTATAGTTGTAAATAGTTACTTCTCTCAGAGTAATAAAGATATTATTTCTGATTTTCAACGATTCTCTTTTGTTTCTTCGCTCTCATTTTATTACATCATTACATCAAAATAACTTTGATTCATCAAAACACACAACTGATCAAGACTCTTAAATATTAAAATATTTGCATAGCAATTTCCAATCTGCAACGTACCTTATTCCGGACTTATCGTAAAAATCTAAATAGCTTCTTCATAACTAAACTTCTAACTTGTGAATGAATTATGACTTTAATAACTTCTATATCTTTACTCTAAAACTGTCTTAAATGTGTAATAACTTCAATTATCGTGTTTCATCTAAACCACATGCTACACATGGTATGCTTCTCACTCGAAAGTTTACTATGATAACAACTTGTTTTAAAACAATAAAATTACTTCATAATAATCATAATTCAACTTACAATATTTGTATGTTCTCAATTCTGTTCCCAATTTCACATGTCACATTGTGTTCTAAAAAACTTGTCAGTGAGTGACAAAAATAAATGTCAACCTCTTTAAACTACCCACGCTATTATCTGCGCAATGGCAGTCAACTTTAACCTACGAGAGTATCAAAAATCTCTTTTTACAAAAAAATTAAAATCTATATATTTTTATCTTTATCTTCTTTTTTATATATTCTTTGAATATCTTAATGACTGAATAGTAATTTTTTAGAGAAAAAATAATTTCCAACTAAATTTCAATAACTGTACAAAGGGAAACAATTCAATCTAAAAACATTATCAAAATCAAAATCTCTCATGCTACAAATAGGCAGGATAAGAACAAGTTCACTTCTGATGTCTTTTGGTCTCATGTCATGTGTCTTTGGGTTGATGATACATGTTTTAACCACCAGTTTCATTCAAAAGTACTTGAACAAAAGCGCTTCAACTCCATGGTCTCTTGTGCCTTTGAAATGGCCAATAGTGCTGAAAGTGGTATTAAACTCTAAAAATCAATCATCTTGTGTCTGAGGCATGCATGCACAATTCTTATAATGATCAATGTGTTAACTAAGTCAAAAGGTCCCTAAGACTAGCCTAAATTGTACCATCCTCTAAAAGCAACTTTGCAGCAAATCAATTTTACAATTTTTGTATTTTCTGATATGTCAATAAATTGAATGTCAAATCTTCCTGACAAATTATAGTCACATTATTTTACTTCAAAAATTAATAATTTGCTCTCGTTACAATTATTTGGCTAAACATAATGTATACAAATGTGTATACATTATGTTTAGCCAAACCTGTAAAAGAATAAAATATAAAATATTAACAAATTAACTATGGCAGCCAAATCCCTGTTTGGTACATCATAGCATTTCAAAATAGGTCAGTGCAGGTTACCTAGTTTAAATAGCATAATACAAGTAGTTAAGTGTCATCTATTTTGGAAATTTCTTTTGGTATTATTTAAATTAACTAACTTTGATACATCAGGCATTCACGTTTAATATCATACAAGAATACCAATATACATTCACTTCAAAACTACTACTCAAGCAGTATTTGAAAAAGATTTACAAAAAATGTATAAGTAAATCATTTGATTTTCATATAGGTTTTGAAACAGATAGTGACATCGTCATTGAAAGAAGCTCATGAAAAACTTGATGTGCAGTCTATCACATTTCCAGCTTTGGGTCGTGGATTTAGCAACTTTAAAGCAAACAATGTTGCAAAGTTAATGTTCCAATGTGTTGCTGACTTTGAAGAAAGTCTTGGTACCGAGCCAACAGTTAAAGATGTACGATTTGTAATATATCCAGGGGATGAAGAGGCTGTTGAAGTAAATATTGTATATTTTATTTTTCTACAGTTAGATAGAAAAAGTTAATCTTGCAAAATTAGCATATAGAAAAAAAGATTGTTAGAAGAGTCAATTTTCATCCAGAGACCAAAGGACGAGGATGTAAAAGAGAGTTGAAAGATACCAAAGGGATATTCAAACTCATAAGTCGAAAATAAACTGACAATGTCATGGCAAAAAAACGAAAAAAACTAAAAGACAAACGTACACAAAATACAACATGGAAAACTAAAGACTGAGCAACACGAACACAACAAAAAACCTTTGATGATCTCAGGTGCTCTGGAAGGGTTAGCAGATTCTGCTCCACATGTGACACCCGTTGTATTTGTTGAAATCTTACATGCATACTTAGAATGATATCATATTAATGTCCTTTGATTAGTACCTCACTTTGTATGAAATTGTAGTCAGACAAAAAAAAATTGTGAATTTCTGTTTGTTTGAAATAGAATATAAACAAAGGAAAGCTTAATTACATTTAATTTATTTATTGTTTTTTATAGGCATTTATAGAAGAAGCAAAACAAAGAAGTCAGAATGTTGTCACAACAATGGGTAAGATAAAGATTTCTTTAATATATGAGGGTCTGGATGGGGGTTTACAGAGTAGAGAATAATGGGCAAAAAATATTTAGAATAGAGAAAAAAAGGGCGAAAAAAAAAGAGAATAATGGGCGAAAAAATAACATAAAAAATTAAAGATTACAGAAATGGAGACCCCCCCCCCCCATCCAGACCCTCATATATTAAAAATTTAATTCATGGCACTGGGGCCATATGACAGTTATCTAAAAAAATATATTAGCCAGAATTGACATGAATTATTTGTTTATTTTTAAATGGACCTATATATATATATATATATATATATATATATATATATATATAATTTTGAATTAAATTTTATATTATTAAAATTAGGGGAAATATTAAAGATTCTGATTAAACACATCTCACATTAATTCTACAAGTAAGTAACAACAAATTTTTAGTACTTGTAGGAAGGCAGACTTAATATATTTTACATATTTATATATAAACAAAATTTACATAAGAAAACTTATGTAAATTGGCACGCTAAGGAGATCTATTCTTGTTGTGATCACCGTGTTAATATACCCATTGTTTTTTTAGTGAAACCAAATACTGTCAATTCATTTATTTTCATGCCTACTAAATTTCATTGATTGTGGAAAACTTGCATTTTCATGGATATTTGATTTCGTGGTTTTGCCACAGTCTGCATACCAGCCTATAGAAATTTTAAAATTCATTGAACATCTGAATTCTTTGTTCACCTGTACCCATGAAATCCACAGAAATTGGTATCCTATGAATAATAATGAATCCACAGTACTTAGAAATTATGACTTAACTGTTTTTGTAATTGTATTTTAGAATATTCCACAGATATAGGAAATGTTAGGTTCACGCTAGTTCGAGGATCATTAACAAAACAAGTCGTAAGTATAGAAATAATGAATATAATAAACTCCACTAAAAGTATCAAAATAGGAAAACCCAAAATCTCATACACAGAAGGAAGAACATTATAAAACAATGAAAATTTAAACAATATTCATGACTTGAAACAGGTACCGGTAATATCCAAAGGAAAAGGTGGATAGAGGAAAGTACCATCATTTAATAGGAGTAATACCACCGTAGATTTTCCCCTATTAGTCTTTGTTAAATTGGCACTTTTCAAAAAATTGTGCAGAATTTATGTTTGTTTCAAATAAAGAAATACTTGGCATGAGTAAAGATTTATCCTGTCTGGTACTACATTGAAAATTTCACATAACATTTCATTGCATATAAGATAACAACCATCACTGGAAGTAAACCAGTAAAATTTTAACCCCTTTTTTTCCTGTGAACAAGCTTTAGTAACCATGTCACCTGAAGTTTCCAAAATATTCTATAGAAACAGCCAATTAAAAAAGAATGATGCTTTTTTGGTGGTATTACACCTTAAAGGAATGCCAAATTAAATCCATTATTATAGGAAAGTCATTTTCAGTTTCAAATTATCCATAATGTTCAGGCATCCAAAGTACACATATATAAATTATACACTTGAGAATTGTAATTTTGAACTTTATACAGCCTTTAAAGGCATGTTTTATATTACTCATACTGCATTATCTGTAGGACATTTAAGGAAGAAAATAATAAATTGATTGATTGATAGCTACTTAACATCCAACAGAAAATATTACATGCATTTTCAAGACCATAAAAAGGTATGAAGTCAAGGATTTACAAAAGATTTAAGGCTTGAGCTTTATATTATAATATTCTTGCAACATACCAAAATAGACCTTTATGAAGAGAAATTAATTTTAGTCCTACTAACACAGAGGTTTCAATTCACCAACATTTCTTAGATTTCTCTACTGATGAACTTTCAGATTTTTGAGATTTGGTTAAGAGCTCCAGTGACAAGAAATACATTTTGAACACGCTAAATATGGAGCATTTAGTTAGTAATCTATGGCTATTTTCCAAGTGGGTCTCATTGGGGTCTAAGCGTGACCCGGGATTGCCGAATTTTTGTAAGCGTGACACGTGAAAGTCAAATTATTGTGCCGTGAAAACGGGAAGTGAAGTCTAGCGGGACATGGGAAATTACAAAAAAAATGAGAATTGCTAACGTACATAGTATAAGCGGGATACGGGAATCTGACAAAACAGTAAGCGGGATCCGGGATCAGAACCCCCCAATGAGACCCCCTTCCAAGGCAATTTCAATAAGGTTTGACTATGACATCATCCCATTCTCACTTTACTTGACTGAGGACAACATATTTTCTTTAAAAAGCTTGAGAAGAAAAAATTATTACACAGAAAGATTTAAAAAAAAAAAAGGTTTGGATCAATTAAATGGTAACCCACAACACAAGATATTCAAAATATATATTGAGAAGTTAATTTGGCAAAAATTCTTAACAATGCATGGACAAACATTCACATAATGTGACAAGCATAGACGTCTTAAGACAAGCTATGGATTTTAGTCCTTAATATGCTTGTAATATTTTCCACTGGATATTAAGCACCCATTATTCAATCAAATATTAAAAACTTAACACATCACATGTTTGTTTCTGTTTATACAGTGTGATGTTGTAGTAAATGAAACTCTAGAAAACCTGGACATGAGTAAATCACCCATGTCTAAAGAACTGTGTGCAGCGGCAGGGCCTGGTCTGCATCTATCATTGAAGCAGAACGTTGGAGATAAAATAGAATACGGACATATTGCTGTGACTGGGAATGCAGATCTGACCAATTGTAAAGCTGTCTACCACGGAGCACTACCTTTATATAAAGAATCATCCAAGATTGAATGCAGACAGGTAAAATACATTGTTTTAAATGCTAATGTTACGGAAGATCAAGTAGATGTCAACACATTTCTAATTTGAAGTGAATGTTATCAAAATAGATGCCCCATGATAATCAAGATGTGTCACAGAATTTGGTCAAAAGTAGTTCAACTGAGATTCCAGAGTTATAGGACTTTGACTGTCACATACAGTAGTGTCAGATAGATATAAGGCATTTTTTAAATGTCATGCACTAGCTCTAGTATGTTTGGATAAAATTTAAAATACAAACTCAACACTGTTGTTAGGATTGGTGGATGTGGACTTGCTTTAGAATTTTATAATTTATATTTTTCTGGTTCATCATTCCAGAGTTATGGGACTTTTAACAGTAATATTTGACAAAATATTTATACCTCTAAGGGTATCCTCATGCATGTTTTTTAGAGAGCCATTCTATTTGCTTTTGATTAAATGCCTCTAAATATTCCATTTAACTTTTGCAACAATTTCAATATGCACAATAAGGGTTTATGTATCATGCGCGCTTGACTCAGCTGTTTTATTTGTATATTCACGCAACCAACTTTTTTAATTTTTAGGCAATCAACATATTTTTGATGCAGTGTTTTATGGAAGCTACTGATTCGGGATTTCATTCAATATCTCTACCACCTCTTGGAACTGATCTGAAGGGCTATTCGGCAGAATTATCAGCTGAGGCTATCCAGGGGTCAATTATAGAGTACCTGAGTGGAAACTGTGATGATACCTCTCTACAAAATATATATTTGGTGGTGCACCCTTCAGCAGGAAACATATTTAAGGTAATTCACAAAAGTTTTCTGATCTTCATTAAAAAAACCATGAAACAGTTGATTTAAAAAATATGGAGATGTGGTATGATTGCCAATATATGAGACAACTATCCACCAGATTGCCTGTTTGAAAATATTCAGTTGCAAATTTTTACTTGCATAATTAAAAGTGTGTAGGCTGAAAGGAAGGGAAGAAAAAAAGGACTGCTTGTAACTTTCAAAATATTGAATGCTGGGTATTTCTAGAATTTTGTCTTGAAACAGGTCAACTATTGACCCTCACAGAGTTAATAATAGGGTTCTGTTACAAGCATACAGCATGTTGCCAGTCTCAAAACACTTACATTTATCATCACCTTAATTTGTACCAGATACACCGAATGTTATGATCCATAAAAAGTATACTCACAGACTGGTAATAACTCTTTTTACATGATGAACTGATTTTCATGCTTACAAACAAAAAATTCTTACTGTTTTAAACTGATTGTTTTTATGTATAATACTATGCTACATCTATTTCATATTTTTATTCCATTTCACCAAATAAATTCCTAAAGTAACCCCTCATTTTGTGTGAAATGTACGTACTTTTTCATAAAATGTGTTTGATAGACTTAATGCAGAAATCAGCCTTAGTATGAATAAAAAGATATGTGGGGTAATGTCAATGAGACAAATAACAGTAAATTCAGAAATTATTGTGACTGTTTTGTTTTTCTTTGTTGACATATTTGTTTGTTTTTATAGTGATTTAGATTATAACACAATGTTGACTGCTGTACCCCTATTTTTGACATTTTTACCTTTTATGTCTGTATGTTTTGTTCACACATTGTTGTCAAAATAATGGAATTTTATGCGACTGTCATACAAGTGAGAGGTTTAGCTAGCATTAAAACCAGGATTAATCCACCATTTTCTACATAAGGAAATGCCTGTACCAAGTCAGGAATATGACAGTTGTTTTCCATTCGTATGTGTTTGAGCTTTTGATTTTGCCAATTGTTAAGGGACTTAATTTCCGTTTTGAATTTTCCTTGGAGTTCAGTATTTCTGTTGTTTTACTTTTTATTAATGTAAAAAATGCGACAGTTTCAGAAAAAAAAAATAACAAAAATACCAAACTCCAAAGAAATTCAAAATTCAAAACAAAAGTTCTTTATCAAATGGCAAAATCAAAAGCGCAAACACATCAAACGAATCAGGTTTCGCAATGATAAAATCTGGATTTGAAAATTTCAGTGGCGATTTTTCTCAATAAATTTTTTGGAATTGCATTAATTAGATTTTTTCATATTTGCCGGTGGTCAAGGATTGGCAATAACAAATGCAGGCATTAATTTATAACTTTACAGTAACAAAAAAAACCTCTACAGAGAAACTTATTTGATTGTCCAAGCATAAAATTTCCCAGTACAAAAATGTCACATTAGTGTACATTTATTTTAAGGACACAATTCTGCTGAGACCTACTTTACTTTCATTATAGGCATTCAAAGATAAAATGTTTCGCTATGCAAAAGGCAAGGAGAAGCTTGACAAGACGTTGATTGCAAAAACTCCAAAAAAGGGAGAAACACCTGCCAGTGTAGAAAATATGCCATTAAGCTTAGTCCAAATGTCTCGTAAGCCTGCTAGAGGAACAAAACAGTGGTTTATACAAATGTACCAGAATGACCTAATGACCCCTCCATATTGGACTTATTTTCCTGGAGGTCAAAGGTTAAGAAAGTTGAAAGTTGACCCAACATTTGCTTCAAAATGTGCTTTCAAACTAGTAGATGTTGAACAAAAAACTTTGCAAGCTATTAGATCTTTAATGCAAAAGACTTGGAATGAGGATTCCTTTAAACATGGACGTGATGCTGCTGGCTTAGTGGATCTTAAATACAATCAAATCAAAGTCACAGATGTAAAAAGGTTGGAGAATCTCAATTTATTCGAAAAATATGCCAGTTTCCGTCAACACATGTTTGGAAAAGTTCTCAACCAGTCGAGTACCTTTCGATCACCGGAAGAATTATCAAAGTCAAAAGGTCAGTTGTTAACCACACATCACATAGATCCTTGTTTGACAAAGGATATTTACAGAGAAATAAATGAACATTATGTTTTCCATGGGACAAAGCCGGAGAATATAGAAATAATCTTAGCCACAGGCCTAGACAGTCGGATGGCAGGAGCTAATGCTATGTTTGGTCAGGGAGTGTATGGAGCAGAAAGCTCCACGAAATCAGATCAGTATGCAGGTAAACTATTAATAAAGGTTTTTCAGGGTTTTTTGCTACTTACAATTAAAATAGAATACTATGCACCTCTTGTACATTTACATCTTCATGTTCAGATAACAGTGAAATATTGGTAATCAAAGTGCTTGTAAGCACTGAAGGGTAAAGATTGCTTTAATTTATCAGTGGGAAGTAAAATTAAACATTGCACTGTATAATGCATTGGTTGTAGTTGATTCAACTACAATTATGGACAAAGGAAGATAACTCCAATTTTAAAGATTACTTAAACAATGACATCATTGATAATTTTAGAACAGATATTAGATTCCTGCACCTTTCACAAGTTATGCAATTTTCTTGACAAATATAATATCACATTGCAACTTGAATATCTGATTATATATTTTATTGATAAATTTCTGGTAATGTTCATGGATAGGATGTTTAGAATGTTATGACCAATTGCACTATATTTTGTGTATCTCAAAAGTAGTGATAAACCTTAGAAGATTTAGATATCAAGTCAGTACCATAGGGTTTTAATTGCAATTCATGCAATCTTTACCCAAAAATCCTTATTTGGCATATATTTAACAGATAACTTAGAACTGAACAAATGTACCAAGTATCAAGTTGATGTGACCACAAACAACCATTAATAAACCAAACCTAAACCGACTTTAAACCAAAAGTTTAAACTATCTTAAACAAAATCTTTAATCTGATATGGGACTGAGAGACTAATGGATGGCCATGGCAGATCCCGGGGGGGTTTGACCCCCCTTTTTTTTTGACAATCATTGCATTTGAATGGGGACATATATTTGGAACCCCCCTGGGTTGAAACCCCCCTCCCCCTTTTAAAAATTGGTGGATCCGCCTCTGGATTGGCTAATAGACTGATGCACACATTGGAAAAACAAACAATCTTAGGCAATGCCTTCTATATATCTTTATTTCTCAATAAACCATTTACATTGGAATGGTACAGAGAACACATAATATTAATAACAAATCAACAAATCAACAAATCAACATGTGTGAGAGAGATGTCAGCCCGGATCACACAACCCTTTATTAACAATTTTAATAAATTTGCAGTTTCGATTGTATCGATTTTCTTTTGCAGGTCATAAGATTACTAAACTTAAGTGTATTTGGACGTTTTGAAAATTTTTCTTGAATAAATAAATTTCAGATGTTGGCAAATTTCATTCAAGTCGCATAATGTGCAGATTCTATTTTCACGCTGGATATTTTGCCATCTTCCTTGTTCAATAGGTAGCTTATGATTTGTTGTCCTAAACTTGCAGAGTTCTACTATTTCGTTGGTTTCTAAAATATCAAAATAACTTTCGAATTAGAGTTTTTGTTTAAATAACCGCTAACAAAGTGATTTTGACTAGTTTTCCATTTCACTATGCCAATTTTGTTCATATTGATCTTTCATAATTTGAACAACTGTGTTTACCAACCATCCCTTGTTAATAAAAGTTTGTGTGTTCCATACATTTGCCAATCCACAATCATTTAGTATACTCATTATACTCGATAACCATGGAGACCCTACATTATTTATAATATTCAATTGATAAATCAGTTTGTATGTTATAGAGGACATTAAAAATATTTTGACACACATTAGAAAAAAAACAAACAATCTTTTTCACTTCTGTTTTGATTCTGAAGCAAATTTATTGTTTTCCCTGAAAAAATTTAGAATCAAACAATTTATTTAGAAAAAGAAGCATCTCACTCTCCAGACAAACAAAAGATGAATGGTTATTGCCTTACACAAAATTTAATTTTTATCACATCTTTTATTACAGTTTGAGTATCCTTACTTTTTGTCAGAATATATTTGTTTTCTTTTATATATTTTTTTTATGTTTCTTTCCCAGATGATAGAACTAACAGGGACATGTCACCCAAAAGCATGTTCCTGACGCGAATGTGCATGGGTGAGATATGCATTGTTGATAAACCAATACGCATGCAGAGGCCTCCCTGCAAATCTTGTTTGTTACTCAGATGTAAAAAAGAATGCCGAAACACTAACTTGTTTGATTCTGTGTTGGTCGATGGACCATGGATATTCAGAGAAATGGTTGTGTATGATCATGCTCAATGTTACCCAGAATTCCTTATAAAATACCAACGTGTTAAATAGACTGTTCCTGCTTGAAACAATGATACAGAAGGAGATAAAATAATAGAAATGTGCCATAATGTCCATTTGTTTGGCATAATGGCTATATTTGACATAATGCTTATATATTTGCCAAAATGTGTGTATATCTGTCTTTCTATGGAAACACATCTTGTCAACACCATTTAAATGTTTAAACTATAAAAGTACAAGAGCATAATCAAAACGTGTGTATATAAATCAAAGCATCATCAAAACTTGTGTACATAAATTAAAGCATCATTAATACTTGTGTATAAAATCAAAATAACATGATAATGACCCCAGCAAGTTTAAAGAATTGTTGGGTAAAGCAGAGGCGAATTAAGGGGGGAGGGGGGCAGGGTGCCCTGGCCCCCCCCCCCTTTTTGTCGGAAAAATTTGGTTGATTATTTAGGGAATCACTAAAGCATGACTAAGCGGGCCCCCTCTTATGGCAGTCAGTGGGTCCCCTTAAGAAAAATTCTGGATCCGCCACTGTTAAGATCAAGTTGACATATAAGAGTTTAGAACCTTGTCAGACCAAACATTTTAGTAATATATACTAAACAGGATTTTCAAAGTTCTATCAAAGTTATGATACAATTATATCTATAAATGGACAATCTTTTATAAACATGATTTACATTTAAATCTCAATTAGGAGAGGTAAAACTTTTTTGAACTTCAAGGTTATAGATTTCTGGTCAAATTGAGGTCAGGGGTCAAGTCAAAAACCATGTCTATATAAAGCAAGCTTAACAGCTTTGTTGATCGTCAAGAAATAATATACTTTATCAAAGTCAATCTGAAGTGAGAGATTCCGATAGAAAGCTTTCAACCTCTAACAGTGATAAAATAAAATGGGTACTTAAAAGAAAATCTATAGAATAAGTTCTATCCATAAGGAATTGGAATATAAAGACATTTCACAACAGTAAAGTTCTGTCTCAGGCAATTCTTACACTTTCTCATTTGATACACCAGTTTTGTGTATATGTACATATGAGTGTCTGGATGGGGTTTACAGAGAAGAGAATAATGGGTGAAAAGAATAGCGAAAAATGGTCAAAAAATATAAAGAATAGAGAAAAATGATCTAAAAAATTCAAGAATTCAGAAATGAAGGACCCCTGTCCAGACCCTTATATGAGATCAATGTGGTATTTCTATCCTTGAAATTTTTACTCAAGACATAGGAATGAATTATACAATTTCTTCTCATTTTGTGCCAAGTTTAATTTTCATTTTAACTTGATATTACATATTGAGTCTGTGATATGCTCTTAAAAGACTCTACATCAACTGTCAAGATGAAGAACAGGAAAAAAAGCCCTGTTCATTGATAATTTTTTTATTTTTTTTATGTATTGTGTCCGATTTTGTCCCATGTACATTTACTCCATATCCTTTCATTTTCTTAAATGTTCTAGCTTGGTTTAACTGTATGCTTGTAAATCTTTTGGCTTGGTTTTACTGTAAACTACTGTGGATTCATTATTATTCGTGGAATATCAAATTTCATTGATTTAGTGGGTAAAGATAACAACAAATTTATACATTTTCTATTGGCTTGTATGCAGACTTTGGCATTTAACCAAGAAAACAAATTATCCAAGATAATATATTTTTAGGAACTTACTTTAAATAAATCAAATATAAGTGGTAATAACTGTCCTTTCCGATATTAAGATATTTCAGTTTTTCACGGGAAACGCTACACTAAAATTTACGACAACATAAATCAGGCAATTAATTTTCTCGTTTGTCATTTCAGGGCCTTGTATAGCTGACTATGCAGTATGGGTTTTACTCATTGTTGAAGGCCGTATGGTGACCTATAGTTGTTAATTTCTGTGTCATTTGGTCTCTTGTGGAGAGTTGTCTCATTGGCAATCATATCACACCTTATTATTATATTTTATCAATCCACGAATATAAATTAATCCACAGAAACTAATTTTCATGAGCAATTTATTTATGTGACTTCTGTGAGTAAAAAAAATTTATGAGTATAAATCATATTGATTATATTTAAGTTGGACCTCTTTCATGAATGTTCAAGAGATTTATTAATTTGTGATGTTTTACACATGGATGTTTGCATATCGTTCTAGTTGATCAACTTTTTAATGAATTATACTCCTTGGACTAGCTAAAATATCATAAAAATTGTACTTGTCCCAATGGTTTTTGTTTGTGTCTCCTGCAAATCTTGGGTTGATTTTTGGTACATTAATGTATAACTGCTTTTGTGTAGACCTTTGCAAAACCATAATATCATTACATATAATTATCCATGAAACTTTGGGTTTTACGAAAATAAAAGAATCTTCATTAGTTAGGGAACGACCATTTAACTTCAAGGGGGGGGGGATATAGTTTTTTCCAAAAAAAATATTCTGATCCCTAATTTGATGAAAAAAAATATTGTGGTCAAGCAGATGACAGAAAAAAATATTCTGAATCCAGATTTTCCCCATACCTTATAGTGTTAAATTTTGAAGAAAAATTATTTGATTGATAGCGTTGAAAAACTAAAAAAAAATGTTTGTGTTTGCGGGAAAAATTTTCTGACTCAGACAAAAAACCATAACCCCCACTTGAAGTTAAGTAGTTGCTCCCTGTGGAAGGGTCTATTGTTAAAGAGTTAATGCTATACTCTAGGTGCAGACCTGCCAACTTTCCTGATTCATTGGGGATTTCCCCCATGAAAGGTGTTGACTAGAATTTTGAAATTCTTTATTATATAAACTGAACACCTCAAAACAGGTTTTCAAATGAGATAAAAGGGTATTAAAGCACATCTATACTCTTTCAAACAATATAGAAGTAGATTAAAATCACTTATGACAATATAAGAGGAGCATAAGGTCCTCTTGCACTTAAAATATCCCGAGGAGATTTTGAAAAGTTGGCTGGTATGTAGATGTCCTTTGGTTAAATATGTTGTTGGGTTTTGATCTCATATATATATATCTCTTTAATTTAATATGTAACTGGTACTATTATACAAACAAAGAGTGTACTCACTAAAATGTCTTGCCTGCTTCACTGAATTTATTTTGAAAGTCTTAAGGATAAAGGTGTAATCAAAACTTTTACTTCAAGTATCACATACACTTTACATTATCAATGATCCATGACTTTCATTGTAGACGAGGCAAAACAGACATTTGATATGATAGTGTTACATGTGTTTGTACAAGCATATTAAAAATTAAAAAGATCTGTATTTTTGTATGTCTTATTATACAATATTATTTTGAAGTATATAATATTTTATTTAATATTTTTACAAATAAAAAATGTCTCATTTCTTGTTTAATTTTTCAGTCAGATGCTAATGATTAGTTTCACCCCAGATATGGAGAGTTTGGTTGGGTCTGAAAAATTAGCCTCTGCATTCTCCCCTATAGAGCTATGGGTATTGTACTATTCCCGTTCCAACTTATAAAAATAAAATGTGGTATGATTGCCAATGAGACAACTCTCCACCAGGCAAAACCCATACTGCATATCAATCTATAAATGACAACAAAATAATAAAAGTAAAACCATTCAAACAAGAAACTTAGTGCATTTCTTTACCTCAGGATTCCCTCAGGGCTTTATTGGAGTTTAAACAGCAAGGGGAACTTCCATGAATTTTCAAGTCTCCTTTTGTATCTTTTGTGACAAGTCAGGTTTTCCAAAATTTTCTACTTTTTATAGATTCCGTCAGTCACTTGCAGGATTACAGTCCCAGAGGTTACCATCTATCCATTCGGGCCCGGACAGAAAGCACATATTTAACACAAAAAAGTTCCTACGCATGGGTATAACTTTCAAAATATGTAGAGTATTTTGGTAATTTTGGTATCAAATGAAAGCAGCTGGATGACTGGTGATCATTGTATACCACTTTTTGACTTTATATCTTTTGTGAAAAGTCAGTTTTTCCAAAATTTTCTACTTTTTAAAAATTCCGTCAGTCACTTACAGGATTTCAGTCCCAGAGGTTACCATCTATCCAGTGGTAAGTCAATGAATTACCAATGGTTATTTGTGTTTTATTATTTTGTTCTACTTATAGATCATTCATAGACTGATGTTAATGTCAGAGGTCTTCTAATGGTTATGTTTAACATCTCTGATCACTGTCTATGAAAAGCTTGCCACATATTAACAAGGCTGTTTGTTCATTGTTGAAGATTGTATGGTGACCCCTAGATGTCTATTTGTGATGACCTCATATATCTGGGTTGCTGTCTCATTAATGTTTACCTCACACAAATATCCCCTGTTTGACAAACTTAACTTTCTCTGACTTTTCTTAAATTTAATTTAAAATCATGACTCCATTTTTATATTCAAACAACTATTTTCTAATGTCACATGTAAAGTGAGTTCCTGTCCAGCTAGAACTGGTTCCTCAGATGGTTTCATCATAATGGCTGCCTGTCTCCAATGGGATACTGTATCTAATGTAGTAAAATGTATCCCATCATACAGTTCAAATTCAAACCAATACACAACAGCAGTCACCTGACCTGTTTCCTCAGAAACGACCTTCACCTTATTTTCCATTTTCAAAAAAGATGGTGGATGATGTTCTGAAATTTCTTCATTGAGGTCAAAGGTTAAAAGTTCAAAAGGTGATGACAGTTTTCTGTGGGATAACTCTAACAGATCAATATCAACATGTGTTGTCATCTGAAAAATATTGATACAATATTATGTACACTGCAGAAAGTACAAGTATTATGCAATAAAACTTCTAACAATGGATAAATGCACATTTGGTGACATCTTAAGGAAAATAAAAGGCCTAAATGAACAATATTTATGTGACAGGAATGATGTTCTGAGAACTTTCTCACCATTTATAAATCTTTATAATTCAAGTTTTTCTACAGCAATCATTTCATTTTCAAATATTGATAATATAGCCATTTTTGTCTCCCCTTGACAGCGTCTAAAAGGGAGACTTACATATACTGTTTCTGGCAGCGGCAACAATTTGTAAAAGTTTGTGATTAGGTCAGTTTAAGGGGAACCACTAATTGAGTCTATGATATTTGGTATGTGGTATGCAGTTGTATCAGCATTAATGGCACATGTCATTTCCATGGAGGTTATTTGTTCCTGTCCCCTCAGTTATGGTCTGTTGACTTTGAAACTTTTGCATAGTTTACATGTAAGAGTGTGTGTTTCGGTCAGATTAAAGGGGAACCTCTTATGATAAATCGAGAGTGTGTGATTTGGTCAGATTAAAGGGGAACCACTTATGATAAATCGATGATATTTAGTATGCAGTTGTATTAGAATTGGCGTATCATATATCTCAGAAATTATTAGGCCCTGTTTCTTCAGTCATGGTTCATTGACTTTGAGTAGTTTGCATAATTTACATATAATCTTTTTTTAATTTCAACATCTGTCATGTCTGTATTTTACTGTCAAAATATACAGGCCAAATATATCTCTGTGTCAATTTTAGATGTCTTAGAATATGGTAGTAAAATAATGTTTATTAAGTCAATTCTAAGTATATTAATTTCTAGATGCATTATAGGTTAAATCCTTCATATGAGGAAACCTTTTAATCTTAAAAAAAAATTACGAACAGAAAAGGGAAGAGAAAACAGTATGCAAAATGGCTGGGTAAATTATATTGTTGAGTCATGTCAGATCTTAGACACAGTTATCTACCCTGGAAAATTTGATGGAGATAAACAAACACCACACCCGTAGCCAGGGGGGTTCGAGGGGTTCATACGACCCCCCCCCCCCCGGCCCCCCTTAAAACAAATAAGCACTGTTAAAGTCGACGTTCTGTTTGAATTGTAACTGTTAAAGTGAGCTTCGCGAGTCTATGTAACACCCTCTTGGAAATTCCTGGCTACGGGCCTGAACACAGTTCCTATGATTTTGGTTTTGTCAAAGTGTAGGAATTTCTTTCTCTGAATTAATAAACCATGTACCTTCTATGGCATTATCTTACCCCATTGATTTATTGGTTGATTGATTGGTGTTGAACGCCACTTTCAACACTATTGTGCTATTTTGTGGCAGTCAGTTTTTATTGGTGGAGGAAGCCGGAGTGCCCGGAGAGAACCACCGACCTTCGGTAGGAAATCTGACAATCCTAGTCAATTAAGATTATAGTCGAGTGCACCTGCCCCGTGCGGGAACTCACAACCTCAGTGTTGACTGGCTAGTGATACAGTAGTTCAACTACTTAGACCACTCGGCCACCGAGGCCCCCTTACCCCATTGAACGCATTGGTCTGACTTTGAGCAAAGTCCTTGTTCTTATTCCTTAATTCTGTATGCTTAGAGGAAAAGCACCAATTATCAGTTTGAAAGTCTTTTACAAGGTCATAAATCAAACCAATGACCTCCCGAAATATAAGTGAGCACATTACTAAAAGAAGAGTCAAGAGGGTCTGGATGAAGTTGAGGGTCTGGATGAAGTTTACAGAGAATTATGGGCCAAATCTACAGGAAAATAAGACAAAAGAATAAAGAATAGAGAAAAATTGGCCAAACAAGTAAAGAATATAAAATAATGGGTTGCAAAACAAAGAATAATGAGAAAAAGATAAAACTAACAGAAATGAAGGACCCCCATCCAGACCCTCAGTCAAGGGGTAGGAAACGTTTCTTATTGCTAATGCCTGTTTTCCACTATACCTGAAAATCATTCATAAATTTAGCCACGCTGAACCCGAGTGTGACTTCATCGTTAATGACAGCACTATCTATCTGTAAATCTACGGACTCAACACAAACTCCATGTATAGTTACTCTCCCAGGCATAACTCTTCCTTCTTTGGTTAAGCTAGTAACCCTGTGTCAGATAAAGAAAAGAGTCAATATTTTTATTTTTTTCCATAAAAACTTAATCATAGGTTCGACATTAAATGATTATAACAATAAGAAATGCAGATTCTAATCTATAACTGTCATAACTGTAACAAAGGGCAACATAATGACCTTAACGTTTATATTACAAAAATAAATTTGCTAAAAGATCCTAAAGTTTTTATTTATTTTTTTTCAAATTCTAAAAGTGTTCAATACTTATTGGTCATGTTGGTCTGAAATCATGGAAATGAAAAAAATATCAAAGTCTGAAGCATAAACTGTTTCACTGATATGAATTGTTACTAATGAAATGTTTGTTTTACGTTTTGGATTTTCAAATAAATTATTGCAGTCGTATATTGGTATCACGTCGTGGTCATCCGAAGACATTTGGTTTCCAGACAATAACTTTAGTTTAAGTGATAAAATTGAGAATGGAAATGGGGAATGTGTCAGAGACAACAACCCGACCATAGAGCAGACAACAGCCGAAGGCCACCAATGGGTCTTCAATGCAGAGAGAAACTCCCTCACCCGGAGGCGTCCTTCAGCTGGCCCCTAAACAAATATGTATACCAGTTCAGTGATAATGGACGTCATACTAAACTCCAAATTATACACAAGAAACTAAAATTAAAAATGAGTGTATGGATCTCTATGAAATTTAACCAAAAGGTTCAATACCACAAAAGGAAGGTTGGGATTGTTTTTGGGGGTGATGGTCCCTACCATTTAGGAATTAGGGCTAAAAAAGGGACAAAACAAGCATTTTTCTAATTTCAGGACAATAACTTGTTGTCAAGTATTTTGATTGCTCTGAAATTGTACCACAAGCATGACAAGGTTCAATACCACAAGTAGAAGATTGGGATTCATTCCTCAAAAGAAAATTCTCTTCGAATATTAATTTTTTTTGGGGGGGGGGGACTACATTTATTCTGTGTCAGAAACCTATAATGTGTCAAATATTTAATTACAATCCAAATTCAGACCTGTATCAAGCTTGAATATTGTGTCCATTTTTGCCCCAACTGTTCAGGGTTGGACCTCTGCAGTCATATCCAGCTGCTCTCAGTGAAGCAGTTTGTTATATAAAGACATTATTTGATACAAATGCCCATTTGGTGCAGTCAAATTGGTACCCCATGATAAATGCTATTCAAGGCCTAGGAAATTTCATACTCCCTAAACCAAAAATTGAATTGTTCAAGAAATCTTTTATGTTTTCTGGACCATCCTTGTGGAACAATTTGCCAATATCATTACGAAATATTACAAATGTTAATTCTTTAAAATTCAAATTAATAGATCATTTATTGAAATCAACCAATTATAAAATATAAAATACCAATTATATTTTTTTAGTGTGATTATTATTTTTTTTTCATAACAATGTATGCAGTTGTATTGAACATTGATCATTATACTTGACTTTTATACTAATATATGCCATATATATCACTGTT